TTAGGGACGGCTAGCGCAGATAGCCCTCGTGTAGCTTTGCGCGAAATTCCAAAACAAACAAACAAACTTATACAACGGCGAATTAGATTCTGTTATCTTTGAAAACTTTTTGCAAAATACACAAATTGAGTCAATTTATTAACAGGATCAACCTCTCTTTCGATGGTTTTTATACATTGTTTATACTTCCCTGTTGTAGCACGCTGTATAATGAACTGAAATACTCCTTAAGTCTAACAAACGTGGTTATTCGTGAGATGGCAGAGCATTCAGAATCCCGGAAAAAAATGCCGTACTAAACATGACTGTGGCAAAAATAGTATCAGCAATAATTAGGAGTGCGGCAAAATGACTGCTTCTTCAGTAAAAGGAAAATGAAATATGAAATGAAAAATATTATATGCTTATCGATTTTTTACACAGTCTTAATAAAGATGTTTTCCTCATTGCTTTGTTACTGGCGCAATTCTTATCAGCATTGTCAATAATGGAGTCATTACAGATGACATTGTTCTCCCAGCTTATGCTGTTACTGGAGCCATAATTATCGGTGTCATTAGTACTAGAAATCTACATATAACGCCGCATTGGTTTCTTATTTAATTTGATTAGTTTCAAATCTGCAATATCAATTTAATATTAAACAGACAACACCCAAACAGTTAGATTTTTTTATAGAAATTATAGTTTCTAACTCTCTCGGGGCCTGTCATGGTTTGATGGTTTGGATGTTCGATTTGCAATTTTGGGAGTCGAAATCTCATTCCGAACATGCCATGCTCACCCTTTCAGATGGGGTGAGGGGATGGGGTTATAATGTGACAGTTAATCACACTGTTCGCTAGTATACAGTAGCCCAATAGTTGGCGGCGGGTGATGTTGACTAATTGCCTTTCCTTTAGTCCATCAATTTAAGATTAGAGACGGTTAGCATTGATAGCCCTCGAGTAGTTTCGCGTGAATTTCAACTAAACAAACTTTTTCCTCTCTCTTATGACTAAATAAGCTTTTGACTTTTTTTTGTATCGTATTTTGTATTTATGGCGTAACTACCAAGGCTATCTGCCACCGTTTCTAATTTTGAACTATTGACTACCAACCATCTACGACAAGGGATTAACTATAACTCTTATAATACACCCATAACTTTAAGTGTGGGGAATATTTTGAGGTATTACACAGATTCGAACGCGGGTTACTAACAAATACAAAGCTCTACCACAGGGCCAACTCCACATTTTCAGAGAAGAATGATATTTTGTTCTTGGTTATTATATAGGTTTGATGAATTGACCTCTATTTAAAGTTCTTTTAAATAAATAATAATCAGGCACGTTCAACTTATACATTTTAACGCCATGTTAATATCGTAAAAGTAAAAACATTGTAAACTTCTAATTGCGAAACTAAAGCCGTATTTTATATGGATTGGACGCTTTTAATTAACATAAGACGTTAAACCAAAAGTTATATTTTCATTACATTAAAAAACATAAAAAGTATGCGGATAAAAACTTCTGTTATTAAATAATAGGAAAATATCAATGGTAAGGTAGGATGTTATGCAAATTCATACTAGTCTAAAAGTAATAAAAACATTCTGTAAATGTAAGGATGGCAGTGCCAAAAAGAATCCAAGCAAGAATAAAGAGATGATACAGTTATACATATATCATTCCCATATGACTTGCCCCCAGTGGCACAACGGTATGTCTGTGGACATACAATGCTAGAAACCGGGTTTTGATACCCGTGGTGAACAGAGCACAGATAGCTTAATGTGTAGCTTTGTGCTTAACTAGAAACAAACGAATAAACAAACTTATATGACATTCAATATTAAAATTTAATGTTACACTGTAAAATGCATGAGTACAAAATGGTTACGAGGTTGGTCAAGTCGATCGACCTCGTAGCGAGTCTGTAATAATCAAGACATGTTTTGACTCAACCTGGTTTTTCTTGTACGTAAGTCCTAGACTCTGAGTTACACTACATTGATGTCTACCCTGACATGACCATGATATTGTGATAAACAAACTACATATTAAAAGTCAGGAATTTATAACTTCCAACTGCAGTAATATTAAAGCCAAGTATGTATTTTACAGTGTAACATTAAATTTTAACATTGAAAGTAATGTAGGAATGATCTATGTATAGCTGTATCATCCCTACATCATTTTACATTTACAAAATGTTTTTTTTATTAATTGTTTATTTGTGACGTTTTTCCCCTAGCTGAATGCTATGGATGTGTGTAATAAAATTCAATATTATATACACCTGGAAAAAAGTTAAGCACCCCCAAATATTTTTCAGGATTGCTTA